GGTCTAGACCTGCTCTATTTGACCTGAGATAACTTCTGTTATGAATTGGCGCTATACAAATAAAATTGAATTGAATTGAATTGAATTTGGTTCCCACGTCTGGTCTTGGAAGACTGGTCTTGGACCTATGATGACTTCTAGTCTATGGCACCTTAAAAAGGGGGCGGGTGGTTGTAGACAGTGTGCACATGGTCGCAGAGGAGATGGTGTATTGACAGATGCAAAATGCATACTTAGACCTATAGGCAGAGGTGGGAAGTACAAATATTTACAATACACAAATATTTCATTACTGTACTTAAAGGTCCAGTGTGTATGATTTAGTGCCATCCGGTGATGAGTCAGATTACAACTCACTTGTTTTACCCTCGCTCTCCAAGTACAAAAGAGAAACTACGGTGGCCACTAAACACTCGAAAAATGCAAATGGCCCTATCTAGAGCCATTGTTTGGATTGTCCAAAAGATCTTGGCCTCCATGAAAGGCAACCTGCAGTGTCTGTAGATAAAAACAGCTTATTCTAAGGTAATAAAACACAGTGATTCTTATTTTCAGGTGATTATACACTAATGAAAACATGCCTATGAATACTATATTTCATTTCTGACAATAGATTCTCCTAAATGTTACAAACTGGACCTTTAAGTAGTTTATTCAGGCATCTGTAATGTCTATTCCTTATATAAAAACAGACTTGTTACTTTAGTTTTTAATGCATTTGAGTGGAAAGAATTGATAATGATCGATTACAAGTCTCCCAACATCAAGACTGGTGGAATCACACATTAAAGATGTCATATGCGAAAATTATGTAACAACATAACAGAACGAAACTGACAAGGGAGGGAAATGCGACCCTGTTAAATTTTTCAGTTAGCTTTGCACAGAAACAGCCAGTAGAAATTACAGAGTCCTTTTTACTTTTATACTTTGATTACATTTCAGAACCTGTACTTCTTCACTTTTACTTGAGCAAAGATGTTGAATCAATACTTCTACTTTTACCAGTGTATCTGTACTTCTACTCGAGTAAAGAATGTGTGTACTTTTGCCTCCTCTGCCTTTAGGGGCTCTCAAACCTCTTGGCCCATCACTAATCAATTCATGGATGATAGGTAAATTGAAAATGTTGTACTGTACATCTGTCCCGTTTGTGAATTGTAAATTTAAGAGATCCGAGTAGCACTCGAAGAAATTGAGCTTGAGCTTGCAAGCTCCTATGCATCTTGACCTGATCTACAATGGAGACAAGAACCTATCAGGCTGAATATAATTTGGATCTGGCTCAAGTAGGGTCTCAGATGACTATGAACCAAGTGGACTGGTGAAAACCTATAACTGACACAAGCAAATACTTGGCCACAATCAGACAAATAAAGACAAAGTACATCAGTAGAGACGGCACTGCAGTATCTCACCCTAAGACGATGAGCTCGCCGTACTTGACGGGCTCCTTGTCCTCAGGGAAGACACCGTCGTGGGGTTGCGAGCTTGAGCCCAGAGGAGGCGAGGGCTGGCTCTTGTTGCAGGATGGGCGCAGCTCCAGAGATGGGGGGGGACACAGCGCCTCTGAGCTACCCTCCAAAACCATGCCCACCGGCCACAACTGGGGCTCGCTGCTAGGGAGGGGAGGATGGGGGAGAAAGAGGGAAAATCTGATGTTACTGAAGAAAAAACATTTTCACATTTAAATGTGACATACAATAACACGCTAGATGATACTTAAAGAAGTACACTGAGTTTTGGTATGTGGGCCCTATGTGTCCCCTGTAAATCAGAGACCTCCCCACTGACACTTAGCAAACACTATGTTGTATGTTAATATGTAGGATCCACAATAGTGCCCACACTGACAACATTGGCATGTAGCTCAGGGCTCAGTTCAGCTCAGTTCTGAGCTCTCACAGACACACTCCACCCACGGTTGCTGCTGGCTAGCTACAGCTAGCATCTATACAGTCTGTACATATGATATTTGTGGCAAATAAACAGACAGAAATAAACAGAGACAATAGCACAAATAACGCTAGGCAAAAATGTATTAGCTATAAATGGTCAATTCCTTGATGTAAGTGCCTTTGTTTAATGATAATGTGGTGTAAATGGGTTTTTACTTGACTTGAGTTAAATACACATGCAATGCAACTATTTCAACATCAGATTGTAAGTAGAAAACCAACACTGTAATTTACATCAGTACCATTATTAATTACAACTATAGATAGAATAGAATGTAATGTAAGGACTGTACTGACACAGTGGAAAGATGCCGGCTTGCTATACACACCTGTTAGCATCTAGGAAGCCTAACCTTGCAAGGCAACTGGACTCTTGAGATCACATGAGAATCCATCTTGCCAGGCTTCAAGCTATTTGCTTGTGTCAAAACCATAGTGGTTCAGGCCAATCAGCATCCTATGAGGAACTTCTGGCAGCTAACGGAAATTGGTAATGGTACATGGTAAAAGGCCATCACAAGCAGAAACTAACTCATTCACACACCAATGCACAGCATTAGCGGCATATTAGGGTTCAGTATCTTGCTCAAGCACACTTTAGCATGCAGAGGGAGGAGCTGGAGATCGAGCCACCAACCTTCTGATTAATTGATGACCCACTCTACCTCTACTTCCTGAGCCACAGCTGCCTTATGGTGCCACCTTAGTGTGTTTTAAAGCTAGGTGTGTGTGTGGCGATATTGACAAAAACAATTGCGGCTGCTGAAGAGGTCAGCATAGATGCTGCTAGGATCTGTTATATCAGAACTGGAGGCTTTTCTCGATGGAAAATATGTTTTCTCTCGTCCCCTGAGTGGCTTCAGTAAGAGTTTGACTATGTTATATGTTTCGTTGATCTGATTGGTTGAAGACAGATGGTTAATTTTTTGCCTTCCAATGACGACATCCCAGATGGTTCTATGTAACAAACTATTACAGTCGGGTTATAAGAAGCCTGCTAACAGCATTGATTGAGCACTCAATTTGGCAACTGGGCACATAGAGGTCCCAGTGCCTCTGACTCTGGATGAAATGCTGATATTGTCCATGATGATATATCGGTCAATGCAAAACCACTCATTTACAGTCCTGTACTGTACATCCATGTTGTTGTTAAAACAACACACAATAAATCTAATTCAGGAATAACTGGCTGAATGTGTGTTATTACTGCAGCACAGCATGGGTGGCTAGCTTCAGTCTCTGTGACATTGGCTCTTCTGGTAATTGTCATCCTCTTTATGCGACTGAAGTGCTTTCTGTTTGCTGACCCAGGGCCTTTACAGAACAGCCAACCCACCCTAATAGGATTGGATGGGCACAAGTGATCCAGCTTTTTCCACAAAGGCAGATACATGCATCTATGAGCCCTTTATGATGATGCGTTGTGCCCTGTCATTTTACTCATGGTGATGAATTACACTTTGACTACTGGCGGGTGTTATAAAGCCCAGAAAGGAGACCTGGAAACTAGAGAGCAAGTCCCCTTCACAGGCTCTTACAGTTAACAAACAGATAACCATCAATTGACAAACGTCGTATCCGAGATTCTTAACGAAGCCCAGGAGGCGGCCAACCTTTGCCTGTGCAGCGGCCACCAAACAGAGAGGTGGAGCAGGTTCACCGTTACTGCCTTTCATTTCTACAAGAGCTTTATTATAATGGCATTTCGAAGCTTTCGATTGCAGTCCTGTCAAATTAAACTAAGGGCCCTGCATTAAAACACGTTGGACTCAACATACAATTTTTTGATAACAGAAATCCATAACACACCAACAAAATGTCAATGACAAGCTTTTAATTAACTGGCAAGAGTGTGGCGTAAATGTGAATATTATGCTAAAGAGAGTGGGATCATTTCTACCACATACAGTAGTCACTATGTGGATGTTTTGACATTCGTTTTACGTGAGTCAAACAAAGCTCAATCCCCGTCTCTGCACACAGGTTCTAAGCCAGTTCTTAATGCTCAAGCCTATTATTAATCAAAAGTGGGCGAGACCACCTACACGGTTGAAAGCGAGCGGTGCAAAAGCATGACAAAGACCTACCAGCTTTGTTCTCCCTTTGAGCAGATTAGATAATCATCCTGGGAATGTCAACGTAATAATAACACTGAAAAAACTATCCCAAGTTTAGATGGGTCCCTCTTCCTTCTTGTTTGATTTTTCTGCGTCAGCATTAGGGAAAAGTCCTTTTAGATGATCATTCACACAGAAATAACCCATACGGACTACACTACCAGTGAGTGAACTGCACAGTCATTATGAGATGTGATTGAATTTTGGCCATCTGTCGAGGCCCCGACGAAGAGAATACCTCCTCATAATCAGATGATGGATGGCAGAAGGCAGATTCAAGCAGCCATTGGCCATTTCATTACCCAGGCTCTCTGTTACCCTGGCTGGATATTGAGCGGTGGTAGCAATGCAGAGGTGAAGGCAGAGTGGACTCAGGGGAGGCAGAAGCAAATGAGGAGAGAGGGAAGAGAATAAGAGCAAAAAAAAAAAAATAGAAAGGGGCCCTGTTGACTGTGAGGAACTTCCTGGGTCCCTTTATCTCCTGACTCAGGAAACTTTGTGAAACAGTATCACTTATTTTATATGTATTTCTAGTCTCAAAATCTTCCAAACACCACTACAATTTGGTCAGTATTGCTAAAATTAAGGAGAAACCATTCAGACTTTTTCTCTCCCAACACTAATCTCAATCTGAATAAAGTGTGTGGAGCTCATTGACATCATGTTGGTATGATAAAATGAGGCCAGGGATTGCTCTAAATGTGGACTGTTCATCCCAAACCACTTAACAATGTCAGTATGGGCTCCAAATACCAATCCGGTGGAGCGGATGGGAGCATCCCTACGAAAACATAACAACCTGACTATACCAGATGGTAGCAAAGCCAGTCAGGATAAGAGAGAAAACATATTTTCCACAGAGAAAAGGCTTCAATGCTGTTCTGGCACTGGCATAATACACACACTGGGCACATCATGTTTTGCCTCGCCGAGGTGTGGCAGTGTCACGTTGTCAACACGTGTTCATGCCGTGGTCAAGTTAGCAATATATAAATATGTATATAATATATAAAGCTTACAGAGGTTGCAGTTTGGTTAGGGTTGGAGCTCTGATTCTTTGCCCGATCCCCATTGGACCAAACACTGCCACGGAATTTTTCTGGGTTTGGTTTGGGTTGGGCCTGATTTTTTGGGCCTGATCAAAGCTGTAGTTAGGCTTAGGCGACAAAACTACTTGGTTAGTTTTAAGACCTCCGCACACCAACCCGATTATC